ATAGAAGCATCTGCCGAAAAAACCGATGTCGGTAGCGACAAAAACTGCGGGGAACTCTGCAAAAAATGCATCTTCGCACGGGCAGCCCGTGTGTCGGCCAATTATTTTTATTTGATGTGTCCGGGAGGTATATAGTTGAAAAGCGCGCTTTGTATTTGCGAGCATGTGTACTTTTATTTTCCCGGATAAATTAGCTCTGGGAGGCCAGAAGCACTACAAAATTTAAAATCAGTTTTCGACTTTCCTCACTCTAGCTTATTACCCCCCTCCCCCCAAACATGCAGTTAGATTACTTTCAGTTTCAGGGCCGAGTAACTATGGCAACTCAACTGGCAATGTAAGTCAAAGGGAACTAAATTTCAACACGCCTTCGTTGCCTGAAAACTCTTGTTTAACTCATACTAATTGTTACCGAATGGCATAAGCATCAAAAATCTGACATTTTATCGAATGAAAAATTCAGGATAAAGAACCTGAAATTAGCGCACTATTCTGTTTGAAATTGTCAGCTCGGACCAAAAACCAGCTACTTGTATTACTAATGAAATGCAAAGCCGAACATTTTCTTATCATAATTAATTTTTTAGATTGTGATATTTTCACTATAAAATTGCTAATGACATATAAAACTTTCGAAAATAATCATTACTGGGCATTATCAAGAAGTAAAATGCTTTTCACGGAAAAAAATAAATACATCTGTGCACCGTTTTCATCACGTTAGCGAGGAAAGCTATCGGTTTCAAATATTTGAACGGTACTGGCAAAGCTTTTATTTCCTTTCACATGTCCTTTCTGGAACAAGATGCATTCAAATTTCTGGAATGTCAAATTTTCCGCTTTTTTTTTTTCAATTTCATCATATTTTTCAGTAGATAAACTTGTTCTTTGTGCAGTCCCTTCATATGAATTCGGTAGATTTTTAAGAAAAATGAAAAATTCCTTTCGTTTGGGCATTGGTTTAAGAATTGCATCACCTAACCCTTTTTTATAAAAATTCACACAATAGTACTAACGAAAAGGAATCTGGAAAAATAGCAATTCAGTCACGCAGTATTTCGGTTAACCGTTGTAAAAATACTAATAATATGTACAGGTAACACGTTGGAGACATTTGCTGGTCAACGGTGTATACTTTATTGACCATTGAGACTACTAGCGTTATGAGGTTGACCGATATCATGTTGAACACAGTGATGTCGCTTCATAAACCACCTAGCTCAGGCTTGTGCCAAGATGCACGCAGCTCAACACTTTGAATGCCACCAACTGGCCACTCCTCGAGTATGCAAATTTGTAAAAAAATCATATAATAGATATTTTCTGTA